GCAGGTATTGGTGCAAATCGCCTTGGTCCATGTGCTCCATGATCATGGTCGGGCTAAACAGCCGGACCGAGGGCGTGAATACATGAGGTTGGGACGACGCATTGTCAAGGATCGCAAGCAACGGCTGGAGGTACGGCGATGCAAACCTACACGATGGTTATGAGACATTTTTGGTGGTGGTGGGGACAATAGCTACTCTTGCATGGCGTCGGCTTCGGTGCGAATCATGGTGATCATGCGACGGTTGGGAAACTGGGGTCCCTTGAAAACGACCGACTTGCCTTGGTACGTGCCCTTGTTGACGACAATCATCGTGTTATTTGCAATCTCCGATTCGACGCGAAGCTCGTCCGCCGCGGCCTATCCCCGAGAGATTGATATGTTGATACAAAAGTGAAAAAATCAAATACCACGGCGACGCCTGGATAGAGGTGCGGGTAGAGAGCTTGTGCGACAGCGTCGTGGCCGTGCTTGTTGGCCACAGCGAGAAGCGTCATCCCCTTTTGCTCCTTCACTAAGTACAGAAGTGGGATAAGCAGTTGACCAAGGTGGCAATCGTACCGGCTGCATGGTCCACACGTCTGCGCCCAACTCCAAGAGGCAGAGGACAAGGTCGTCTTGGCCTTCGATCACGGCCCGCACCAACGTCTTGTTGATCGCATTCTACAAAGATCGTGTTTGCGGAGGCGGTACTGCCAGCGTGCAACACACCAGATCGGCGCCGGCAAAGGCAATGCGCAAGACTGCGAGCAGACCGTCTCGGCTCACGGCCTATGTAGAGTTAGAAAATGATCAAGTAGTCTCGATTCGAGCTCGATGTTGCCGGACCTTGGGCGCGTCTTGTGCGCTCGTCTGCAGGTGTGGAAGGAAGGCGTTGGCGACCTCTGTATGGCCAAGGTCGACGGCTTCGGCGTAGCATGCGCGGATGGTCGCCGCCATGGTTTCGGGCGCCAACGCCTCCAAGGGCACGTCGACAACTGCCGCGTGGCCTTGTCGCGCCGCCAACAGCAGTGGCGTATTGCCATCCTAAGGATCCCTGTTTGCCATTCGATGCTAAGAGAAGGTCGACACGCACTTCATCGTTGACGTCGATCGTTGCACGAGCGTGCACGAGCTGCTTCACAATCTCCACCTGGTTCTCAGCGACGGCGGCAAGAAAGTGCAGAACAGCCCGTCTAATGAGTCACAATTACAACCAACACAGGCTGGAGGGAGTTGACGCACTGCATCTTTTGTGTTGACACTGGCGCCTTTTTTGAGAAGCGCGTTGACGCAATCGACGTCACCAGTGCGCGCGGCATCCAGAAAGCGCTGGTTCTCGGCAGCCTCCGCATCGTTGAAGGCTTGAACGATGCTGTCAGCGCGCTGCTTGTCGGTTGCGATCTTGAGTGGTGTCTCACCTGCCTACGTCAATGACACAATCGCATCATATCCCGAGCCATCGATCGTGAAAATGGGATACCGTCGTTTTGGCAAAAACGTTGAGCTCGGTTGAGAGGAGGATCCGGATGACGTCGAGGTTTCCGTGCACCGCAGCCACGTGCAACAGCGTCCATCCACCCTACAAACAGTATATGAGACGACCTTGTTGGCATAAGAAGAGAGAATACTTTGATGGTGTAGTCGAGCGACGCTCCAGATTTGAGCAAGCGCTCGACAATGTCGGCGTAACCCGCTTTGGCCGCCACAAAAAGGGGCACCTCGCCGTTCTATATCAAGTTGATACATTCATAGGTTGTTTGAAAGGAGGAGAGAGATGGGTACGTTGTTGTGCAGTCGAGACCACTGTTCGTCGAATCAACGAGCAGTTGATCAACGATGGACAAGTGCCCGTGGGCAGCCGCGAGATGCAGCGGTAGATTGCCTCGCTAGATAGCATGGGATATGAAAGGCCAGCTTTGTATAGAGGCAGGGAATACATGGTCGCTGTGCAGAGAGAGGGAGGGGTCCTTTGCCAGCAGCAGCGAGGTGATGGTGTCGTAGCCGTTGACAGCTGCCACAAGCAGTGCAGTGGCTCCGTCCTATGGATGCGGAAATTGCGTCAAACGTTCTCCAAAAGAATCTGCGAACGTCGTACCTCATTGGTGGTCGAAGAGCAAACCCCGGCACGAAGCAGGTTCTCGACGTTGCTTGTGTTGTTGGTGGACGCAGCTTGGAGCAGCAGCTATCCAAAGCCATACATTTGAACGGCCAAGCCCTAGAGAACGTGTATCCTGTGCGAACACAACGGAGGAGGCAGCTCGAGGATACCTCTTCGCTCATCAAGGCCACACGCGCGTTGGCTTTCAAAAGGGCAACAACCGCAGCAATGTCGTTCTTGGCCATCGCACAGGCAAGCGCCGTTTGCTCGTCCTACGATATACTATTTCGTGTGTGCTGGCTGCGTGTTGTGTACCTTGTCAGTCGCGTTCACATCGAGGTGGGGCTTGGCCAAGAGAGTTTGCAGTAGCTCTATGTCACCCGTGTCGACCACCAAATGCAGCAGTGGGACAAAATACTACAAGAATAGGATCATGAGTACTAGTACGTTGCTTGCGATGCAGTTGACGTACGCCGTCTCGCAGATTCACGTCGGTATGGGGCTCCTTGATGAGCTGGATGGCGTCTTGGATGCGTCTTTCGTGCAAGGCTGCGAGAAGCTACTCATGGGAACGTCGATCGATGACGTCGAATGTGTTGATGTACATTGTTGATCTTGCGTTGAATATGGTCGCGCAAGAGCTGTGCCATTTCATTGCGGTTCTTTTCGACCGCAAGATCGAGCGCGGTCTTGTTGTCCTACGTTTTTTTGTTGTTAAAAAACGATTTAGTACGATATGTACCAACAACGTACGTTGTTTCTGGCGTTGATATTCGCGTTGGCGGCCAAGAGAAGGCGTGCAACTTCGAGATAATTCAAGTACGCCGCGCAAATGAGAGGTGTATCTCCATCCTACCGATTGTCAAATTTCATTCGGGATCAAAAAATTCAATCAAAAAGAGAGTCGACGTACAAGAACACGATATTCCGTCGACACATTCTTCGTCAGCAAGTAGTTGACGACGTTCGTTCGACCATTCAAGGCAGCAGTGTACAATGCATACTACCACCAATATTATACAAATAGATACCTAGAATAATAGTAGACGACGTACGCCATTGTCGTAGTTGGGATTCACGTTTTCTTCTTCCACGAGCCGCGTCACGTTGTCGAGTCGACCATTAGCTGCAGCAAATCGGAGCTTCTCCTATGTAGTCAGAGACGCAGTCGATCGCTTCCTTCTTCTTCATCTTCTACTACCTCCATGTGGCTCATGGTCCTCTCGGCCGCTGACGTCCAAACCGAAAATGATCAAGTGAGTTACCCCTTCCAATCACATACCGCCATTTCAGCATCTCGCGTCCGATTGGCCAAAATACAAATACAGCGAACAACATATTTGCACGTTCGTGAAGAAGCATTATAACTCAGTTCACCAACAAGCAGTACATACTGACGGCCGTGAGGCAATTTCTTTCCCCGACATAGATTCTGAGAGGCTCAGCACACCACTTCTCGGAGTTTATAGTTGTTGACAGGTAATAACAATCATATCTCAATAGACTCATTTCAACAACCAACAAGCAGTACATGCATCTGTGCAAGTACGTCGATTCCTCGATCACCCGCCACACTGCGATCTTCCGACATCTGCCGCGTAGGCAAGCGGGGTCGTTGTAAAATTAGGACAGTTTTCGGTTTGTATCATTTACGTTTTCATCGTAGCTTGGGTTCTACCGTCGTGTGGACTGAAGTCTTGGTTGATCTGGCGTCACTAGGGTAGGAGACCAACGACTAGTTAGTGTCCATAATCAATAATACTATGTCCACTACAAAGCCACATACAAGTAGAGTAGACAAGTATTTTCGCACGGTGGCATCCTTGAAAGCCGCCCAGCGCGGTGAGCCAATTTGACACACTGCTACCTACGTTGTTCAGGCCGAACGACGATCAAAAATGAAACATTCGAAACGGCGCGGTGGCATGGTCGCGCTCAGCGTCCGCGCAATTCTGGTGCTTGTGCGCGCCATCCACTTTCTTGACTTTGTCGCCCGAAGGCTCACCCCGGCCCGACCGAAAACGTCGACAGCCCAACGCCGATGGCTTCTTGCCCTATCCCTACCGATACCCCGACCCCTATCGCGTCGCCGCACATCAGCACACTAGCGATGCATTATAGGACTCGGAATGCAACGCGCTACAATATTATCCTACAACGCTATCTCGCATCTACAAACACGAGTGCTGGCTACGTTGTACAAGAGTTTTGTGTGTGTTTTGAGTGGTTAAAAAGCCTATTTTTTGCCCTTTTTACCGCCCTTTTTCTTCTTTTTGCTGGTTTCCGCGAGCTTTTTCTTTTCGTCGAGAAGAATTTTGTGTGCGCGGTACGCGGCTTGGATCTTGCGCGAGGCAAAGGTCTGCTTCTTGGCTTCTTCGCGCTTGAGAACTTCGAGTTCCTTGAGCCGTCGCTTTTCGTTTTCTTTGTTTTTTTGGAGCTCAACCTCCTCGACCCAGCGCTTCTGGAGCCCCTCGAGCTTGGCGGCATTCGCATTGCGCTCGCTGGTGAGCTTGGCGAGCTCGGCCTGCTTGGCGGCCATGTCGCGCTCGTACTTTTCATTCCAGTGGGTGAAGTCCTTGTGGAGGCTCTCGTGCTTGGCCTTTAGAAACCCGACCGTTTCGACATGCACCCGCGCCTCCGAGTCACACTCGCGCGTGACCGCCTCAATCTTGGCCTTCTCTTCCGTGATGAGCTGCTGGTACAAGCGAGCAGTCGACGCCGTCTTGGCTTTGGCTTCGCTGCGCGCATACCGAATGTCGATCTGTGTCTTGGATTTGACCTACGCATGCGAGGTCATTGCATCGTTGTTCAATATGGATGACCACTTTGACATATCAGAAATGAAAAAATACATGAAAAATACAAAAATAGGCCATTGGCAGCGTGCTAACATGTTGGTGGGTACCTGCAGAAGCTGCTCTTTCAAGAGTGCAATGGCGCTTTTTTGATCGGCGATTTCCCGCGTGTGCTCGACTTTTTCCCGTGCGAGCTCCTGCGTGAGGCGCTTGACCTCTTCCGTGGCCTCCTTCTCCGTCTCGATGAGGTCCGCCGCCTTCTCGGCCGCGTGTTTGCCTTCGGTGACGTACGTCACGAGCGACTCGTAGCCGCAGCCGCGGAGCTCCCGCGTCGTCTCGGTGAGTAAATCGATGAGTGCTTGGCGCTCGTACTGAATCTTCATCAAATTGCCCCCGAAATTGGGATTGTCCTATGGACAATACTGTCCATCAACTGCTACATTCGCAACCACTACCTTGAGGTTGCGACACAAACTCCGCGTGGACTCGCGCAGCGCGCGGCTGACTTCTTGAATGTCGCGCTGGGTTTCTTTAAACTTGGATTTGTTGGCGAGGCCCTAGCGACATCCATTCAAATTGTCTTCTTGTACATAGTAGAAGACAGTGTATACCTTGAGGACGCTTCGCTGGGAAATGAGGCTCTCGTACTTGGCTTCGAGGCGTCGCTGCTCTTGGATGATGCGCGAGATCTCGTCGCCAACGACTTGCGAGAGCTCTTCGCGATGCTGCAGAATGTCGGGCGTGATGCTGCCAAGAAACGAGAGCTTCTCGATCGTCTCTTCGAGGATCGCACACGCCCGCGTGGCCTCGACCGGCGACAGGCGGTGGGCCGCTTTCATCACCGCAACTGAAACCGGCGACCGCGTCTGAAACTCCTCGTGCTACCGTATTGCTAGCAGCCGGCTAGTGTTTTTGGTCCGGAAGTGGACCCTGCATATACATCCCATTGCCAGTGCAAATGCACATTCATGCAGTTGTTGGATGACCTGCGACGTTGTCTCGTTCAAAGCAAACAAAACTGTAGATCGATCGATAGATAGATCGATCGATAGATAGATAGATAGATAGATAGATAGATAGATAGATAGATAGATAGATAGTGCATTCGGGTCAATCTTTACGGACTAGACGCAAAACACTGTTTTAGGTCGTATACTACTTGTTGGCTTGGTCCCACCATTTCCTGTAGATCAGATCTACGACGTACCGGTAGTTGAAAATCCGACAGAGTTGTGGACCAAACGTACTCATCATGTCGTAGTACGACGTTGGAAACTTTAAACCTAACCGATACAGAACGATCATACGGCTTATCGCGGTTCCTCCGATACCACCGCAGCAGCAAGAGGTGCGTGAGGTTAATCTGCGCGCCAAATGAAAGTGATGTCCCCGGATAAGTCATTCATTATCCGGATAATCCGCTGGCAGGGTAAACGATCTGAGGAATGGCAACGGTACGACACGATTTGCAAAATCTCTCTATTAGCTGAATCGTTGGCTGAATCCATGGGCTGAATCGTTGGTTTTTGTGGCCGGTCGCTTGGTCGAACTTCCACGTGGCAATCAATGTCTCGGCTCCGATAGCTGCACCGATGCTACCAGCTCCTTCTGCTTGCTCTGGGTCAGAAATGATTCTGGGGGCTATTCTAGCTATTCTGGGCGTTAAAAGTCTTGCCAGGACTGCGATGCTGTTGTCAGTCGTGCATGCCGACAGATCTTTCCTTGCGCTGAATGAAGAGCAGTCGACTGACATGGTCAACCAACCAACGGTACGTGTGTCCTTATCTTAACGCACTGCCGAGGCGGCCCAGGGTGATCGCAGAAAAGAAGTCGTCGTTGAAGTTGGACACCTTATCCTCCTCGTTGTTGCTTGTGGCGGATCGCAGGGATATCTCCTCGACCTCACACCATGTGTCGCATGAGATTCTGCCCAGATGCTATCATCACTTTATGGATTTGTCTTGAAAAGACTATGCCATCGGGACGTTGGATGCTATGCCATCGCGCCGTTGGCCGCTGAATCTGCGGTGCCACGTGCTTGGGAGAGCTTTTACATGGCAGTCGGCCCACATCTCGGATAGCTCATTTTCAAATCCAACACCAACCACAACAACCACCATGAACATTTACCCGCAGCAGACGTACGAGGTCGACGCCGGCCGGTCGATCGGCCACGCCAACCCGGGCATCGACCGCGCGTGCAAGGAGATCCAGGCGGCGTGCGCCGGCCTCGGCACGAATGAAAACAAACTCAGCACGGTCCTCGGCAACAAGTCGCCCGTCGAGCGCTGCCTCATCCACCTCCGGTACCCGGAGCTCTTCCACAAGTCGCTCCTCTCCGAGATGGCGTCCGAGACGTCGGGCAACTACGGCAAGCTGCTCCAGCTTCTCTCGCAGCCGATCGAGGAGGCCGAGGCCATGATCATCCGGGATGCGACCAAGGGCGCCGGCACGAACGAGAAGCTCTTGATTCCGGTCCTCAGCGGCCGCTCGAACGTCGAGCTCAACATCCTCAAGAAGGCGTTCTTCAAGAACTTCCAGACGGACCTCGTCGTCGCCGTCAACGATGACCTCAGCGGCGACCTCAAGACGTTCTACCTCGCAGTGCTCAACCAGATGGCGCAGCCGTACAACCCGAGCATCCACACGCCGGCCAAGGCGGCCGAGATCGCCGAGGCCATCTACAAGGCCGGCGAGGGCAAGTGGGGCACGAACGAGTCGGCCTTTGCCAACGCGATTTGCTCGATCCCGCCCCAGTTCCTTGCGGCCGTCGACGCGGCGTATGCGGCCAAGCACAAGCACGGCCTCGTGCACGCAATCCAGAGCGAGTTTGGCGGCAACGCCGAGGATGGCCTCGTGTACCACGTCAACAGCATCTTGCATCCGATCGAGACCATCGTCGAGCAGATCGAGAGCACGATGAGCGGCATCGGCACGGACGAGTACCGTCTCTCGGCGGCCATCGTGCGCTTCCAGCACCTGCTCCCGCAGGTCAAGCAGGCGTACCAGGCCAAGTACCGCACCACGCTCCGTCAGCGCATCGAAGGCGAAACGAGCGGCGACTACCGTGCGCTCCTCCTCACGATCCTCGACCATGCTATCTAGCTGGTTAAACCTGTGCATACCTGCATAATATATGGATTTTGGACGTGGACACGAACGTTTTCCGACACACAGAGTAGGCAGTCAAGATTATGCGAGTACGCAGCGGAGAGATGACGAGCGCTCGACTGCCGTGGTGGTCACGCGAGGGAGCTGCCAAGGACGGTGCGTCAAGATGATTGTGGCGCCAAAGGTCGCGAAACGGGTCGAGTTGGGGTAGTTGGTAGCGAGGGCAGACGTGGTCGATTGTAGCCAACTGCGGAGAGCCAACATCGTGCGATGCAGAGACTATTTGACTGGTGTTGACTTTCTGCATCGCAGGGATGGCAAGCATTTACCCGTTGCAGAAGTGACCCACTCGGGATGCTGAACATGGATTGTATTGAACTAGAGAACGGTATCTCGTTCGTACCACTACTACACGGATGTGTTGGAGGCTGCAGTTTTCTCTGGCTCCTCCAAGACCTTGGTATGGGCCTACTCGGATTTCTTGGGGTAGCATCGCGAGAGCAACGACGTTAGTTTGTAGCACATGTCGTTGGGCCGACACGTCTTGCCGTTGGTCTTGAAGTTGCTTCCGTCGCACTGCGCATACGTCGCAAACTCGGTGCTTGTCGGCGGTGTGGGCAGGCACTGCGAGTAGGTCGAGGCGATGTAGACGCACGTGTTGCCAGAGGTACAGGTCGTCGCACCGGCGTACCCTCGACCACCGCACTGGCCGTAGACAGAGACGAGAGACTCACTTCGAAGTGCTCCGTGCGTCGAGGCGCTCGCACACGAGAGAAGCGCCAACGCGCAGATTGAAATCGCACTTCGCATGGCTCGAGCAAAAGGCAAACTGAGCCGTCGCGACATTGCAGATTTGCCGATCCTGGACATTGTATGGCATACAAATACCAGGTTACGAGCCGTTTCACACACCGCGTTTCGCCGACCGCCGGCGTCGATCCCTTGCTCGTGTGGCCTTGGTCAAAATGGATACTTGCTGCAATCGCGCCATTATACAACCAACGCAAGACAATTGAGCGAAGAGACTCGCTCAAGCGTTTGTTGCAAAAAGCCTAGTCTTCCCTCGCTACCACACCTCGAACCGTTTCGCGACCTTTGGCGCCACAATCCTCTTGAGGCATGGGCAGCACCCTCTCGTGACCACCACGGCAGTCGAGCACGAGTCAACGCTCCGCTGCGTACTCGCAGCATTTCGCATTTTTGACTGCCTACTCTGTGTGTCGGAAAACGTCCGTGTCCACGTTCAAAATCCATATATTATGCAGGTATTCAGTAACAAGCTAGATGGCATGGTCGAGGATCGTGAGGAGGAGCGCACGGTAGTCGCCGCTCGTCTCGCCTTCGATGCGCTGACGGAGCGTGGTGCGGTACTTGGCCTGGTACGCCTGCTTGACCTGCGGGAGGAGGTGCTGAAAGCGCACGATGGATGCCGAGAGACCGTACTCGTCCGTGCCAATGCCGCTCATCGTGCTCTCGATCTGCTCGACGACGGTCTCGATCGGACGCAAGATGCTGTTGACGTGGTACACGAGGCCGTCCTCGGCGTTGCCGCCAAACTCGCTCTGGATTGCATGCACGAGGCCGTGCTTGTGCTTGGCCGCATACGCCGCGTCGACGGCCGCAAGGAACTGGGGCGGGATCGAGCAAATTGCGTTGGCAAAGGCCGACTCGTTCGTGCCCCACTTGCCTTCGCCGGCCTTGTAGATGGCCTCGGCGATCTCGGCCGCCTTGGCCGGCGTGTGGATGCTCGGGTTGTACGGCTGCGCCATCTGGTTGAGCGCCGCGAGGTAGAACGTCTTGAGGTCGCCGCTGAGGTCATCGTTGATGGCGACGACGAGGTCCGTCTGGAAGTTCTTGAAGAACGCCTTCTTGAGGATGTTGAGCTCGATGTTCGAGCGGCCGCTGAGGACCGGAATCAAGAGCTTCTCGTTCGTGCCGGCGCCCTTGGTCGCATCCCGGATGATCATGGCCTCGGCCTCCTCGATCGGCTGCGAGAGGAGCTGCAGCAGCTTGCCATAGTTGCCCGACGTCTCGGACGCCATCTCGGAGAGGAGCGACTTGTGGAAGAGCTCCGGGTACCGGAGGTGGATGAGGCAGCGCTCGACGGGCGACTTGTTGCCGAGGACCGTGCTGAGTTTGTTTTCGTTCGTGCCAAGGCCGGCGCACGCCGCCTGGATCTCCTTGCACGCGCGGTCAATGCCCGGGTTGGCGTGGCCGATCGACCGGCCGGCGTCGACCTCGTACGTCTGCTGCGGGTAAATGTTCATGGTGGTGGTGGTTGGGGTTGATGGTGGATTGGAAAGTGAGCTATCGGAGATGTGGGCCGACTGGTATGTAAAAGCTCTCCCAAGCACGTGGCACCGCAGATTCAGCGGCCAACAGCGCGATGGCATGGCATCCAACGTCACCGTGGCATAGTCTTTTCAAGACAAATAATCCATGAAGTGGTGATAGCATCTGGGACAGAATCTCTGGCGACACATGGTGTGAGGTCGAGGAGATATCCCTGCGATCCGCCACAAGCAACAACCAAGAGGATAAGGTGTTCAGCTTCAACGACGATTTCTTTTCTGCGATCACCCTGCAAATGATCACCTTGGGCCGCCTCGGCAGTGCGTTAATTAGGACATACTTTTAGTTCGTTGGTTGACCATGTCAGTCGACTGCTTTTCATCAAGCAAAAGGAAAGACCTGTCGGCATGCACGACTGACAACCGCATCGCAGTCCTGGCAAGACTTTTAACGCCCAGAATAACCCCCAGAATAAGTTCTGATGCAGAGCAAGCATAAGGAGCTGGTAGCATCGGTGCAGCTATCGGAGCCGAGACATTGATTGCCACGTGGAAGTTCGGCCAAGCGACCGGCCACAAAAACCAACGATTCAGCCCATGGATTCAGCCCAACGATTCAGCTAATAGAGAGATTTTGCAAATCGTGTCGTACTGTTGCCATTCCTCAGATCATTTACCCTGCCAGCGGATTATCCGGATAATGAATGACTTATCCGGGGACATCACTTTGATTTCGCGCGCAGATGAAGCCGATGCACCTCTTGCTGCTGCGGTGGTATCGGAAGAACCGCGATAAGCCGTATGCTCGTTCTGTATCGGTCAAGTTTAAAGTTTCCAACGACGTACTACGACATGATGAGTACGTTTGGTCGTTCTCGTCCACAACTCTGTCGGATTTTCAACTACGTCGTGGATCTGATCTACAGGAAATGGTGGGACCAAGCCAACAAGTAGTATACGACCTAAAACAGTGTTTTGCGTCTAGTCGGTAAAGATTGACCCGAATGCACTATCTATCTATCTATCGATCGATCGATCGATCTATCTATCTAGAGTTTTGTTTGCTTTGAACGAGACAACGTCGCAGGTCATCCAACAACTGCATGAATGTGCATTTGCATTTGCACTGGGAATGGGATGTATATGCAGCGTCCACTTTCGGACCAAAAACACTAGCCGACTGCTAGCAATACGGTAGCACGAGGAGTTTCAGACGCGGTCACCGGTTTCAGTTGCGGTGATGAAAGCGGCCCACCGCCTGTCGCCGGTCGAGGCCACGCGGGCGTGTGCGATCCTTGAAGAGACGATCGAGAAGCTCTCGTTCCTTGGCAGCATCACGCCTGACATTCTGCAGCACCGCGAAGAGCTCTCGCAAGTCGTTGGCGACGAGATCTCGCGCATTATCCAAGAGCAGCGACGCCTCGAAGCCAAGTACGAGAGCCTCATTTCCCAGCGAAGCGTCCTCAAGGTATCTATCGTCTTCTACTATGTACAAGAAGACAATCTGAATGGATGTTGCTAGGGCCTCGCCAACAAATCCAAGTTTAAAGAAACCCAGCGCGACATTCAAGAAGTCAGCCGCGCGCTGCGCGAGTCCACGCGGAGTTTGTGTCGCAACCTCAAGGTAGGGGTTGCTAATGTAGCAGTTGATGGACACTATTGTCCATAGGACAATCCCAATTTCGGGGGCAATTTGATGAAGATTCAGTACGAGCGCCAAGCACTTATCGATTTACTCACCGAGACGACGCGGGAGCTCCGCGGCTGCGGCTACGAGTCGCTCGTGACGTACGTCACCGAAGGCAAACACGCGGCCGAGAAGGCGGCGGACCTCATCGAGACGGAGAAGAAGGCCACGGAAGAGGTCAAGCGCCTCACGCAGGAGCTCGCGCGGGAAAAAGTCGAGCACACGCGGGAAATCGCCGATCAAAAAAGCGCCATTGCACTCTTGAAAGAGCAGCTTCTGCAGGTACCCACCACGTTAGCATGCTGCCAATGGCCTCTATATTTGTATTTTTCATGTATTTCATAAACTCTGTTTTTCAAAGTGGCCAATATTGAACAACGATGCAATGACCTCGCATGCGTAGGTCAAATCCAAGACACAGATCGACATTCGGTATGCGCGCAGCGAAGCCAAAGCCAAGACGGCGTCGACGGCTCGCTTGTACCAGCAGCTCATCACGGAAGAGAAGGCCAAGATTGAAGCGGTCACGCGCGAATGCGACTCGGAGGCGCGGGTGCATGTCGAAACGGTCGGGTTTCTAAAGGCCAAGCACGAGAGCCTCCACAAGGACTTCACCCACTGGAATGAAAAGTACGAGCGGGACATGGCCGCCAAGCAGGCCGAGCTCGCCAAGCTCACCAGCGAGCGCAATGCAAATGCCGCCAAGCTCGAGGGGCTCCAGAAGCGCTGGGTCGAGGAGGTTGAGCTCCAAAAAAACAAAGAAAACGAAAAGCGGCGGCTCAAGGAACTCGAAGTTCTCAAGCGCGAAGAAGCCAAGAAGCAGACCTTTGCCTCGCGCAAGATCCAAGCCGCGTACCGCGCACACAAAATTCTTCTCGACGAAAAGAAAAAGCTCGCGGAAACCAGCAAAAAGAAGAAAAAGGGCGGTAAAAAGGGCAAAAAATAGGCTTTTTAACCACTCAAAACACACACACACAATCTTGTACAACGTAGCCAGCACGTGTGTTTGTAGATGCGAGATAGCATTGTGGGGGAATACTGTAGCGTGTTGCATTCCGAGTCCTATAATGCATCGCTAGTGTGCTGATGTGCGGCGACGCGATAGGGGTCGGGGTATCGGTAGGGATAGGGCAAGAAGCTATCGGCGTTGGGCTGTCGACGTTTTCGGTCGGGTTGGGGTGAGCCTTCGGGCGACAAAGTCGAGAAAGTGGATGGCGCGCACAAGCACCGGAATTGCGCGGACGCTGAGCGCGACCATGCCACCGTGCCGTTTCGAATGTTTCATTTTTATCATCGTTCGGCCTGGACAACGTAGGTAGCAGAGGTCAAATTGGCTCACCGCGCTGGGCGGCTTTCAAGGATGCCACCGTGCGAAAACACTCGTCTACTCTACTTGCCTGTGGTTGTAGTCTTACATGTTGAGCAATTTTGTATCTTTGATAAAATAAGTCTTGTGATGAGCCAGCTTTTTGAGCGACAGCACCCGATCTCTTCTATGCCTACAGGACGTATCCAGAAGACACATGAAACACACGACAGTACAGGGACCCTTCTTCACTCGACAGCACACAGGTTTTCTTTTGTCTCTAACTACACGTGGCCGCTTCACCCGGACGTCTCGCCCGTGAGCTGGAGAATCTTGTACGGCCGGTTGCTTTCGTCCATTTCGGCCGCGATACCGAGCTCGGCCTTGAGCGTATGGGGCGAGATAAAGTCCCACTTCTCGAACGCCTTTTGCTTCTCGGGGGGCGGGTCTTGGTACCAGTCGTCTACACACAGATCTCGTGTGTATCAATCTATCAAGTGGAGACGTACGTCGAATGAAATGCTTGTCGCGCGCGTCAAAGTGCGCCATCATGTTCCAAAAGTTCGAGTACGTCTTACGGTCCGTAAGCGGCTTGACGTTGGGCGTAAACTCGGGTTGCACGTGCTTGACCATGAGACGCTCCCAGTCCAAGCCGTGGAAGAACGGGTGCTCCATGATATCGAGGAAGCCGCGGGACGTGCACCCCATGCGATTCACCGCGTTGACTTCAAGGAGCCGGTTGATAAAGTCCCGCGCATTGGCCGAGACCTAGCTCCGTCGAGATACATTATTTTGTTGCCATCGGCACAGAATAAACGTACCTGGTCGGGGTAGTCGACGCCGGCCGCCATGCGCTCGAGCTCGGCGCGGTACTGCGAGCGGGGGCTGAGCTTGGCGACTTCGACTTCTTGGGCGATTTCGGCAAGGAACCCGTCGCCCAGGACGTTGTAGAGGTTGAACGGCTGGTAGCCGCAAATGAGCTCGTAGATGGTCACGCCGAGCGACCAATAGTCGATGGTGAAATTGTACCCTGGCCGCTCCTCCCGCCGAAGGAGCTTCCCAGAGATGAGCTCGGGCGCCATGTAGCCCTTCGTCCCGACCGTGGTCTTTCGGCGCGTGTTCTTGGCGTCCGGCGGCCGCGCAAACGACTTGGGCACGGTTTGCGTCTGCCCCGAGAGCTGCACAACGCCGTGCGGATTATGGTCGTCTTCTGGCAGCGTCACGTGCGACTCGACGCGGCTCAAGCCCGCACCGCCCGTGGCTTTGGCGGCCTCGCGGTCTGCGTCGTCGCGGTGCTTCTTGTCCCGGATTTCCTCGAGGCCTGTCGCAAGCCCCATGTCGGCAAGGACAATGTGTCCATCTTCGCCCAGAAGCACGTTGCACGGCTTGAGATCGCGGTAAATCAAGCCGAGTTCGTGCAAATGGTTGAGTGCGAGCGCGATTTCCGCCGCGTAGAGGCGCACGCGGCCTTCGGGGAGGTACCCTCGCTTCGACCCCTTCATGAGTTCGTTGAGGTCGCCACCGCGCACGAGCTCGGTCACAATGATGGCGTGGGCACTGGTCTGGAAACTGTAGTGCATGTCGAGGATGTACGGGTGGTTGCACATTTGGAGAATGTCCTTCTCGGACGTGATTTGGTCGAGCTGGTCTTGGTGTTCGTGGAGGAGCCCGTTCTTGAGCTGAATCTTCATCGCTAGTCACACCACCATATATAGTAAGACAACGTGTCCATCCAACTCGATCGATGCATACCGTAATGCTTGCCGGTGGACTTTTTCCGGGCGTGCACGACACGGCCAAAGCCACCCGAGCCGAGCAGCTCGAGGTAGTCGAAGTCGTCGACCGTCACTTTATTGTACGTGTCCTTGAGCTCGAGCTTGTACAGGTCGTACTCGGGCGAGCTCTTGAAGCGATGGTACGTGTTCTTGCACATGTCGTCAAAGCACATTTTCTGGATTGGTGCGAAAAAGTCCTTTGTGATTTGGCTCGGGTCCGCGTCAATGACTTTGATCAGTTCCTAGTGCGGACAATATTGTCATCTCTTTTTTTCTTCAAAAAAAGAGAGGTGCGTACGTCGTACTGCGCGACCATGTCGGATGCGAGGCCACCGAGCGCCATGGCCGCGCCATGCTTGATGTACTTTTTATAAATGTGCTTGGCGACCGACCGCTGGTACCCGCTGGACGGCGCCTCGATGAACTCCATGCACTCGACCCAGCAGTAGAACGTCTCGCTTGTCAGAATCTTTTTCGCGTAATTCCCAATGTGCTTTTGGCCGACGGGATCGTGCAGCATTTGCGTGAGCTCGTCGTCGGCGATCGAGAGACGACCCGCGCTCTTCATGCGGTTGATATTGGGTTGGGGCACCATCTTCCACTGCGTGTTGGCAGCGACAAGCGGCGCCGGCACGCCGCGGCCCGTCATCTTGGGGGCCACCTTGGCCTGCGGCGACTTGCCCTCGCCGCCCTTGCTCGCGCCCCCGCCCATAGAGAGAGAGATATGTCGAGGAAACGAAGCAACTGTGGCCCTTCACGGACGGATGTTTCACTCGTATTTTTAGCTTCTATAACTTTTTTTAGATATAACGACGAGCGACTTGATGCGGAAGGCCTATTGACGACGTGTGCTCGACGCCGATCTCGTCACCGTCCCGTCAGTCGAGAAGCGTCTCCGGACCAGCAAAGATCTATAAGAACTCACTGCCATCGCGCAGAACGAGGCGCAGTGGACCGTGTTCAAGGAGGCGAGCGGTGATGCTTGCCCCGACATCCCCACGCACGACACTGTCGATTTCTACTTTTGTGCACGGATGCGGCAATCTTCCTCGATTGAGCGTACAGTCAGTTCGTACTACTCCGGGTTCGGCTCTGACCCAGCACTGCTGTGTTGATTAACGCGAATAAACGTCATATTTATCTGCGTACTAGGATCTATCTATCTCAGTAGAACGACTTACAAACAACGACCAGACAACAACATCGCGACGACGATGACGAACGACCAAACAATGGAGAGCATCTACTGTACCATGCTTTCTCGGCGCGATCCGTCTCGGACATGGGTGCTCGCCACGGGTGCGTCGGGGTCCGAGGTCGACGGTGTGAGCTTGTACATGTAGGAGGACGAGCCTCCGGGTGTGTACGAGCAGCGAGATACGACGTTTCCATCAACGTAGTGGTGTCACTGCAATCCTTGGACGACGTTGTTGCTGTCACTGCGAGCGCCATTCTGCAAGGTCCCGCAGAGCTCGAGGGCACAACGCGATTCTAGAAGTGAGCGACGGACAAGAAAGTGAGGATGCGGTGGCTGCGGACGAGTACGTCTCGCCGCGTGAGAAGGAGCGCTTGAACGCCATATGGTACAAACGGTAGCTAGGATGCTGTATCATGTCGCTTGCGGGGTGCCAATCCATGAGGAGCCAACAGTCGTCGCAAGATGACATGGCGAGGTGGGCTGTAGCGCGGGCTGTGACGACGCAGGGAATGAAAAGGATTCGACGGAGTGCATCGACAACGGATGCGATTGGTAGTAGGGCCCCCCCCGAAGCAGGTCGGAAATGTCTGCGGGTATGGACAAGAGTGGCAGGTGACACGGTGATGGAAAGTCAATACTGTTTCTTGAATTCGTTTTATGAAAGAAAGAAGAAAGCAATGCAATACTGGGAACCCTCAGCAAAAAATTAGAGTTTCTATGGAATGTGTATCCTCACGGAGTAATCAGAGAGGTGGTACAGTTTGTCATCTCTAGGTTCCCAGGCTTTCACGAGAAGTACTCTACATCTATCGTATGTGCATGCAGTTGATGCTAATAGTGTCCCTCAGCAAAAAATTAGAGTTTCTATGGAATGTGTATCCTCACGGAGTAATCAGAGAGGTGGTACATTTTGTCGTCCTTGGGCACATCTCTAATGCTACTATTCCTGCTTCTACTCTTCAGGGCGCAATTTCCAAACTGATCACTCGATTGGCCGGCGCCAAAACGTGCGCTGTTGGCGGCCACTCGTTCCGGCCAGATCTGATTGGCTCGTCCGTGATTGGTCGAATAAAACTGTACGTATTGATGTATGCATTGTGAGAGGTTCTTATACGAGCCAATCGTGTGCCGGTGCAATGCGCTTTTTAACCAATCATCTTGGAGAGTGCATTGGACCAATCCGCTGCGCCTGAGACCTTGTTTACAGCCAATCCTCATTCCGTATGAATCAACCAATCTGAGACGATATGCGCCAAGCCTTTGCACCAATCGCAGCAGCGCAAAGATCCCAGCGATGCTTCGACCAACGACGCAGTGGCAGGACGCCCTACGGGACGGCGACCGAGCTACGAAAAGTAAGCGCAAGCCAACACATCGAGCCAGCCAGCCACGCCCGGCCAAGGAGCCTCCGTATGCCAGAGCGCACTGCATAGCGAGCTCTCACGCTGCGCTAGGCGGGAGCCATCGGCCGCCGAGCTGCTCAAGGCCTTTGCCCGTGAAATGGATGCTGCCAAGACGCCCTTGGCAACAGAGGACCCCAGTCAAGCGGCAAAAGTGTCCTATGTTGAGCCTGGTGCGCGCTACGAGCTACATCCCAACACAGTCGCTGCCAGCCCGACGTCCATTATGGCACCGACGTCCGAGCCTGCTCCGTTGCTAGCACCAACTCCATTGTCAGCACGACCGCCGCGCCCATCGACGGCAGCATCCTCCTACATCCGCCCTCCACAAAGTCCCTTGTCGACGCTCAAGACACAGGTGCAACAGATTGCAGACGGAGGCGTCGTCTTATTGATAGTCAGCGGTCGCTTCTTCACGCGCGGGTCAAGTCGCTGGGCCATGCATTGCCCGAATCTCGGACGCTCCATGCCTTGTACAGCGGCGCACAGCAAGCATCTTCTAACGACATTGCGTATATAGACGCGAACTGGGAGCCAGCGTTCGGTCGTCGACCAAGATCCTCGAGGCGTCCGAAACAGACCTTGAAGCCTCATGGCTACACGAGCGGCGTGGTCTGGACATCCCTCGCTCGCTGCCACCGAGGCCTCTCCCGATGCCGCACCCGCGTCCGCAGCTACCGACGAGCGCCAAGGAATCGTGGGACGCCAACTTGGCCGACCTCGCGACGATCTTGAGTCGATACAAGCACGAGCTCGAGAAGCTCCTCGATAGTAACGCTGCTAAGGCGCCGCCATCGACTCCGACCAAGCAAGTCATTGCCGCGACGTCCGAGGGCAGGGTCAACGCACCTCCATGCACCGCCGAGACGAACGAGGCAGCTTGGACCGCCCGTGTCCCTGTCAGCCGTGATGTATCCCGCGATGCACCCGAATGCAACGTTTTGCCGCTCGAGCACAACATGTCAGACAGTACGACGACCGAATGCAAGATCGAGGATGCGATGATCGCATCTCCCGGGACAAACGACTTGTTGGCGATCCCAACTACCGTCCAGAAACCTGCAACCTTTTTAACCGAAAAGTGGTTTATCTCGGCGCCTCCGATGCCAACGTCGTCGGATGCGGCATCGTTCCGCTTTCGCGTGTTTGATGCGCCCGTCCCGACAGAGCCGCACGTTTTGTCCCTTGATTTTGTCCCAATGTCGCTGGCTGTATCGTGCGCCGAGGTGTTACCACCAACATCAACATCAACTGTAGCTGCCGGCGGATGGACGCCGCTGGAACCACACGGTTCGTCCCGCTCGGCATCGACCATGTCATTGCCACCCGCTGCTCGTAATGAAGCTGGTGTGCATGCTGAGACCGAGTCGTCGTGTGCCTCGTCGCGCGCCCCCGCGATTGCCATGGAAGACTTGCGCGTTTTCTCAACCGCATCGCCCTCTGCCACGTGCCCAGCAGGTGCAACCAGAGAGCGAATCGACGTCTCGGTAGGTGCTTCATCGCGAGTGGTTTGCCTCGAAGCACAGCTCATCCGTGACGGCGTGCGTAGGTCGCGTCATCGCTGCGACCACGCTGCGTCGACGATAGCATGTGGCCATTGCCTGCGTCCGTCTCGTCGGGCTACCGTCAAAAGCAAGACCACCTTCTCCACGCAGGGCTGCACCACCGACTGTGGTCGTCGAAAAGCTCCATTGCTGCATCCACCACCACGAGTATCTAAGAAAAAAGAAAAACCCATACGACTACAATACGCTTGTCATCGAGTAGTACACTAAATCAAACTGTGCCAAGACGCTTGTGGCAGCTATCCAACAACAAAGCACAAATGACATACCAAAGCATCGTCCACTGCAGTGTTGGCTCCTCTTTTCACATACAAGAACGACTCCGTTTCGGACGGCAGACCGGTACCGTACGAAGCAGCGTCGAACGCGAAATCTCCTGGTCAGGTTCAACTTTGCTTTTTTACCCTAGCCCTCTCTCGAAATAGCAACGCGTTTGTGGTCCAGTTACAGGCGCTGCAACTGTCGTGGCGTCGTGGAAAGGCCGTGAACCCATAAGGAACATGCAAGACGACGACCGGCACGAGCAGACCCGCGTCGGCTTTTTCTATCCGACCAACGGCAGCGGAAGTACCTCCAAGCTGCAGATCCGGTCCCGGCCCAAACCGGCGCCGTCCAGCAACCAAGTCGCGCGCGCGCAACACGTCCTCGCACAGGTCACTTTTGATTTCCGTCGACAAATGCTCTCAAGGTGCATATAGGCGACCACGTTTTTCGAGACGGCCAACTCGGAGATTTACGCCGTGGACGTGGCCATGCGCAACGTGCGTGCTGCTATGGATTCCTTCCAACTAGTCATGGAAAAACAGGTAGTAATCTCGACTCCACGAGCGACCTCTCATACTATCCCATTAGCTCTATCTGTGCAACGACTATGACGGGTTTCGCGTCTCACGGCTCAAGGCCGACATGATTGACACGCTTGACAACATCAAAAGTGCGAGCACGTCAATGGAACAAACCTCGCTTCGGCTGCAAAAATCGGTTGGCGTCGGGCGCAAGTACATTCTATCGCACACCGCTGCGCTCGGGCGGTCTAAAAAAGGAGCCACCGAGACGCTCAGCGTGCTCGACCTCACGCCCCCCACCACGGTCGCATCGCTCTACGACGTGCTCTTTCCGCCCCAAGTCGTGCCGATCGTCCCCCCCGAGAACCTCGCTTTTGTGTACGCGTCTCGTCGTCGCGTGTATACAAAGGAACGATGGCAGGAGGATTTGCCTAGGCTCGACAAACTGGCGTTCCGGGGCAAGGCCGTGCTTGAGAAGAAGGAATTGCTGCTCTTCTACCGCGAGCTGTGCAATTGGAGCCTCGCCAACAACGGCGTCATCTCGGCGCTGGACCGCGCCCACCAGAAAAAACACACCACAAGGTACGCGACGATCCTCACGGCGGCGTCGTGGGAGGCGTTTGAAGCGCGCGACGGCGAAGTCCACGAGCTCAGTCATGTGCCGCGGACCGAAATTGAAGCCTTTGTGACGTCGAGTGCCTTCCCGACGCTTGTCAAGAGCGTGAGTGAGAAACTGGGGACGCCGTCGCCGCTCAAGTCTGCGTCCAAAGAGACGACCTCGTCGGGGCAACTGAGCGCGGCCGAGCAAACGCTCTCGATGGCCAAGATGCTGCACGACCTTGCGACCGCCGAGTCGGAGGCCAAGGCCGGGTACCGGCTCTCCGTTCGGTCGAACGCAGCCCGGTCCAAGGAGTTCTCCAAGGCCTTTCTATCGGCCTCGAAAGAACTCATGGAGAAGGAGACGGCGTTTTTCTAGCCGGTCCTCTTGTACGTGTAGGCATGAATGTAATAGACCCGATTTGTACGGACATCGCCTTCTTACCTCCGCGAGCGAGAGGCGACAACTGCGTATCGAGATGTTTCATTCAACGTACGCTGCGAGAGGCCATCTAGCGCTTGTGTCCTGGCTTGTGTCGGGCTGCATCAACTTAATTTTTTTGTTGAAGTGCCACGTCGTGTGTTTTGGTGCAAACGGCAAGTTTCAATTCTTGAACCTTCTCGACGAACGCCGAACGTCCTGTACACTACAGGACAGAGAGCTTCTTCTTCGTCGTCGTCCTCTTGCTATCATATAATACGACGTCAAACCAATGTGCAGTCCCTCCCTCTACAAGCGCAACTGCGCACGTGTGATAGCATAAAGGTTGACGCTGCCCACATGGCTGGCGTGCGATCGTGTCGATGCATCTTCTCGGCAGCAGATTCCAATGCAGGCTCCTTCAGGTCGCATGCAGCCCATGGCCCTCTATGCTTGCGTGTTCTCGTCCTCCGAATCGCGTCGTCGATGGACCTGAATCCCACGACCGGAAGAAATAAAGGTGCCACAGAGGCCCGGTCACACATTGTTCAGATACAGAATGCGCTGATTGGTGAATCCATTTTTTGACGCGGCCAGATTGGCGCATTTGAATTCGCGCGCTGCGATGACCCCCTTCAACCTGGTTTCGACGATGGGACAGCGCGCCGCGGAGATGATGCTCCCGGGCAGCTGTTGAAGCGCCTCCTCTTGATGGCTGGCGTGCAGTCAGTATACAACCGAACTTGACATCCAGCACGTAATTGCGAGCACTAGTAGTATGCGCACACCGCCGACGACCAAAGACTCGGACGAGCCCGAAGACGAGTTTGACCTCGACGCGTCGCTCTCGCCGCGCCTCGTCGACCTCACGGTCACGAGCTACTCGGTGGGCACGGACGGCATCGTCATGTACCATGTTGACGTCAAAAACCCGCACGACATTCTCGACACGTACACCATTCGCCGCCGGTACACGGACTTTCGCAACTTGTACTTTGAGCTTTCGACCATGATGCCGCTCGAGGACAAGGAGGCCGCCTTGGCGTCCCGCTCGAGCCTGCTCTCGCGCTTCACGATCTCCAACTCGACGTTGCCACCGTTGCCGTCGGCCGGCGTCTGGTCGTACTTGCGCAAGCACGACACCAAGGTGCTCGAGAAGCGCCGCGCGGCCTTTCAGGATATTTTGGACGCCGCCGCGTCGCACACGGAGGCCCGCGTGAGCAGTGCGTTCCAGACCTTTTTGAGCGTCGCGCCCGAGTCGCTCAACCGCCGGGCGTCGTACACGTCGCTGCGCGACTATAGCGTGCCCGCCGACAACAACAAGGCGTACACCAAGCGCAAGAAGAACCCGCGAAAGCGCGGCAACAGCGGCCAGTACTAGGAACCGCCAGCGCGTCTGTACCATAGTCATTTTTTAATTTTATCAATTGTTCATCCTGCATTTTGTAAGCGTTTGCCGTTGGCCACTTTGCACTTTGAGATTGCCGTGGAGGTGCATGATGGCATCCTACTGGTACTACGCCAGCACAGCCAGCACGGGCATGGTCAGCTACATTGTGATATACTGGCAGTGCCCGCTCCTGGGATGCAGCGATCGTGCTTGCTGCGCATGGTTCCGGTCGCATCTCGCTCCAAGGCTGCTTTAGGATCGGCGACGGAGATGGAGGAACTTCTCGGTACAGACGAGAGTCACATATAGCTGCTGCCTGCCTCTATAGCTCTCGGCTCTCTGCTCGGTTCTGGTCTGGAGTTCATGATCAATACATTTGGTCCTCCGACGACTACTCCAGGCCTTCTGCAGGCCCCCTGCGACGATCGATTGCATTTTACGTTTCAAGGAAGGTTAACTCGGTAGCTGTGTATTGTGCATCCATACTATCACTTTCGACTAACGTTGGTTGAAGAATGAGCTAGTGACGGGCCTGATGGCATCAGCTCCAAAGGGATGATCCATGGCCCATCATGATGTGCGGGATCAGACCAAGCAATGACACGTATTTAAAATACTTGTATACCAATCATAGGTTCAAATAAAATATCGGTATTAAATGGGCAACCTGAGCCAGCATTTTTACACACTTTAGCATGGCCGACGACGACGCCTTCTTGTTCGGTGCGCCGCCCGCGACCAACGACCGCAGCAGCGTTGCGCCGGGATCGCTCGAGTACGAAGACCTCTTTGGCGCACCGCCGGCGCCGGCGAGCCCAGCGACATCGACGGGCGACGACGCGAGCAATCTCTTTGGCCCGCCACCGCGGGACGCCGCCGCCACGCACCTCGTCGTCCTGCAGCATGGCCTCCACGGCAGCCCATCCGACTACCACACGTTTGGCTTCATCTTGCGCGACGTCTTCCGGGACGAGCCAGGTACGTGTTCGATCCATGGGATCTCGACCCACGTAGCGTTAGGGCTGTACATTGTCGCTGCCACCTCGAACGCCAAGGACACGCACGACGGTATCGACGCCGGCGGGCTGCGCTTGGCCGACGAAGTCCAAAGCCTCGCGGCCACCTGCCCTCGGTACGTCCTCTGGCAAGCCCAATTTGTATGCCTGTCGGTTGACCTAGGCTCGAGAAGGTGTCACTCATTGGGCACTCGCTCGGTGGGCTCTACGTGCGCTACTGCATTGGCGTCTTGTACGCGCGAGGCTTCTTTGAGCAGATTACGCCCATGGTTTGTTCCATCGTGTATCAAAGTATCAAGTTGGAACGTGTGTAGAATGTCATTACGCTCGCCACGCCGCACTTGGGGGTTCGCGCGCCGTTCAACAACCGCGGCGCCGTCAACGCGGTCGTCAACACCATCTCGTCCAAGCTCTTTGATCGGTACATCCTTGCACAACAATCGATATTTCCTTGCACAAAATCGATAAAATGTTAAAAATGGCCTAGGACCGGTGCACAATTCGTACTGCAAGACACGGCGTCACCCACGTGTGTGGCGCTTGCGACGTATGCCGTCCCGCTGCCGATGGCGCCCATGGCGGGTACACTCGAGATTCAGTTGCCTGCGCCGAACGTTGGGTATGCGCTGCTGGCGTACCGCCTTCTGGACGGTCGCCTCAACATCTTGTTGGACCCAACCGACACCGACCCGATCTTTTCGTTTTCTCTTGACGGCATGACTGCATTGCTTTTTGTGCCCGAACCACGACCGACCACAACCGACGCCGAGACCGAAGCGTCCAGCTACCTCTACGACGGTACGACACCATTACGGTTTTACCCTAACCCTGACCTAACCACCGATGGTAGACGACGCTATCGAGACGGCAATCGCACGGGACACGGTGTTGCAGCTCCACAACACCGACCACAGCCTCTCGATCGAAGTGCGCATGGCCACGAGTGTCGACTGGGCGCTCTTGCATGCCGTCGTGCGCTATCTCGGTCGCCTTCGATGCGTCAACTATGTCGGTGACAAGAATGTCGTGCGCGCCAGCCTCGTGCGCGTCGCATCGGCCCCGTCGCTGTTGCAGTGCCTGAGCCAAGGCGCGTTTTTGTTTGGCCTCGGGTGTTTTCGCCGGCGTGCGCTCTACTCCAACATTTTTTTTGACATTCAGGTTGGAGATTCAAGATTCGAGATTTGAGATAAAGGAAATCCGTGGAATACGACGGTGTAGGTGCCGTTTGCGGTCGGGTCGATTCGGAGCTTCAACCCGTACCAAAACAATGCGACGTCATGCGCGACGTCGCCGCTGTACCCACACGTGACGCTGCACTCGCTCGCCAACGCGCCGCTCCTGCGCGATACGCTGCCGCCACGTACATCGTGTCCTACATTTCGGAAGAGATAGAGATGTGGCCATGTTGTTTAGAACGCTGGACCGACATGGACGTCTATCCAGTGCAATCACCCACGCCCAAAGGACGCTTTGACGGCTGGGGCAACCTCGGTCAGTACTTGTTTCAAGCCAACAAATCGACGCCGTCAACGCCCTCGGCGACCGGCAGCAATGGCACTGGCCCGCTTTCGCCGTCGCCGAACCTGCTTTCACCCTCCGGTATGAATACACATCTCCAGTGTGCAAGCGTGTCGTGACGTTGCTTGTCCTAGCACTGCTGGCAGGTCGTCACGTCACCGTCGTGTCCAAAGGTACAGTGGGCTCATGGCGCGTGCAACATGCAGATACATTTTCGCTAGACACGGCACACGTGCTGGTCGATAGCCCCGAAGATGCATTCGTCCACGACCCGCTGCGCGACATTCTTCGAGGTACCAATGAAAGCGTCGTTAGCCAATGGGTTGGACCCACGGCGTAGGCATGCTCGTTTCGCTTCAGGCGCTGCCGTACGAGCGCGCCGACGTGCTGTTTGACGGCGTCCTCGGCCACGAACGCATCATTGCCAAGCGCCACACGGCCTTTACGCCGTGCGAGTCGGGCGTCGACGTTGTGCACCACGTTGCCGACACGTTCCTTTTGTGAGGAGCATAAACCACCTCTAGCGAAATCCACCAGCCTGTGCTCACGTCATCTTGATCAAAGCGTCACATCGTTCGATAGCAGAGTCCTGCCGCCACAAGAGAGTTGGAAAGAAGGAAGATAGGGGTAGGGTATGCAGAGGGATATCACGACGGCTCTTGGTCGGTGACGGGTGCATCGTCACGCTGCATGGATTGCACCAGCTCGCCAGTCCAGCGGGTAGGTTTTCGAGAGTACAGCGAAGCCTTGTACGTTGCGCCGTGGTCGACTGCAATGGAATCAACGACGCGTCGGCCCCATTTGATGCGCATCGGATCCACCCTGCATCCTCTTGTATATAGTATGAGTGTGGTATCATACTCGATAGTTTTAAGTGTGCACTATATAAAACAAAAGAACGCCAACCTAAATCCACTCGACTTTGGCGTACATGATGCCTTGCTTGGCGTCGCGACGAATGCTCTTGATGCTACGCCAAAAAGACGTTAAACGTAAAACGCAGCCGCTACACGCACCGAAAGCTGCGCTGGTGCGTGGTGTTGAGAAGACACGTGTCGTTCTCCCACTGGACCCCCGTCACGTGCACGAGCTCGCCCTACACGACGCGTTGGCCGTCACTTTCAAATCCACCGCCGACCTACCGTGGGCAGTTCCCGCGCGTCTTTCGTGTCAAAAATGTAGACGTAGCCGAGCGGCGACGGGCTTTTGCTGCGCTCCATGCTGGTCGCCATGCGCTTGTACTTGGCGTCGTGTAGACGCAGCGTCTTCGTGCCGTCGGTCGGGTACCGCTCGTGCAGAAACACGAGCGGAATCTCAACGTCCGAGGGGCCGCCATCGCTCGTCATCAAGTGCAGAGACTTGGTCTTCTTTTGCCACCACTTGTGCATTTGGCCTTGTACGTATGTGGGCGTCGCCTGGCGAACATGCTCGTTAGCTGCGATCATATGTGGACACATTGCCGTACCCCGAGCGTGCGCTGCATGGGCTCCTTGTACGACTGCAGCACCATGGCTGGCGCGCCAAAGAAGAGCGCGCACGCCAGCTAAAGAGATCGGTTTGGGAAGAGAGTAGGTACGAGGAGGCGACGTACGGGAATGAAGAGCGTCAAGAAGGCCTTCTCGCTCAGCAGTTGACGTCCCATGTTGATGCTCGTGTACGACCGGCGAAATGCAAAAGTGAACCGCCTGTCTCGGACAAGGTTATCTTTAGAGTCGAGCCTGGATTTAGATCCAGTCATCTATCTATAGCGAGGCGACGGCGCCTTTTGATGTGCTTGTACCTGGCTTGGAACGGTGGTGTGGTTCGTGCCCACGACCTCTACACTATACGTGCTTGGAGCTCTGCTTGCAGTTCACGTTGAAGTTCCACGACACCGCCTCTACGAATAGGTCTAGGTTTAGCTTCTTCTAGCACGTCTAATTCACGCACTCTTCATTTCGACGCCTATTGAGTTCCTGTCTTCCATCACCCCTGGTGCGCAGACGAAGCAGGACTCAACAAACGTCGTGTCCTAGGATGGATGCCCACCGAGGTGCTTGAGACGGCCATGTAGGCATCCGGATTTTTAGCCCTTGCTCCGGGCACGGACGCACGCTTCAAAGTAGCACGGCGAGGACTTTAAAGATGACGGATATTGTGTACCCAAATGTGGGCTATTATTCAAAAGCACTTGACGACGATATTACGCTTTGCGGAACGGAGTGCCCATGATGGTGAGCTCCGTGTCGTTGGTGCCAATGCCGCGAAGGGTCAGCTGCTTGAACGACCCGCCGGCGACCTCGATCGCCCAGAGATAGTTGTCGCCCGTGGTCGCCAGCACCGGGCCCTTCTGCCCGCCGTACTGCAGCAACAGCGAGTTGTTGCTGGTCGAGAGAACCGCGCTGCCATAGTACTCTGCCGAGTGGACACTAGTGTACGTCCCGGTCAAGGCCGACTGGTCCTTCGCCGGGATGCCCGACCCGAGGCTCGTCCATGGCTTGCCTTGGAAGAGGTGGACATCACAAGGTGTCGACGGTCGGATGGTATCAGCGACAGCCCGCGCCGACTCGTACGTGGCCTTGAGAGTTGCTTGCGGCACGTCGAGGAAGATGCCGAGAAGGTACGTTCGGATGCGGTCTTCGACCATCAAATCACTAAACGCGCCACCTCGTCCTTCCGAGTTGGAGAGCACGACGACACCGAGGTCTTCTGTGGGAATGAACCCGTTGCGCGTCTTGAAAGCAAAGGTATCCCCGCCCTTGTCAAAGTACTGGTACCCGTACATGATGTCGCCAACGGCATCAAAGCCGTAGCCGGCCGTGAGTGCACCGCCATCAGCGTCGTAGGCGTAGCCCATCAAAGGTCCATGGGGAAAAATCTTTGTGTTGATATTGTGGCCCGTGATCATCGTGTCGATAATGGCCGGCGACCGAAAGATGCCCGCACCCTTGGAGAGGAGAAATTTTGAGAAAATCGCCAAGTCGCTCGCCGACGAGACGATCGAACCCGCTGAAATGTAGTCGTTGGTCGGACTGAGCATGCCTTGCGATGACGTGCGCTGGTCGAACGGCCCCGCCACCAAGTTGTTGCAGTGGTAGTGGGCAAACGAGAGATCGCCAGACGGCGGAACCTCGCGCACGGCGCCATATGTGTTGGTCATGCCAAGCGGCGTGAAGAACGTCGTGTGGAGGTACTGCGACCACGTTTGGTTGGTCTGGTACTCGATGACTTGGCCGAGGATCTCGTAGTTCATGTTGGCGTAGTCGTAGCCGGGACGCAGCGGCCGGCCGGCCGTCTCGAGGTAGGCAGCCGCGCGCACCGATGCGCGCTCATCCAGGATCCCGAGCATCCACGCTTCGTCGCCTTGGCCGGACGCAAAGACCGAGTTCATCGCGAGGAGATCACCGAGCGTCGTGTACTCTTCGGCGTACTTGTCGTTGAGCTGAAACCACGGAAGGCGGAGCTTGACCGGGTCGTCCCAATGCAGACGGCCTTCGTCGACCTATCCGAGATCTGAGTTTGCATACATCCTTGATATAGTTGTATGGTATACGTACGAGCTTGCCGATACCAAGGGCAATAAAGGTCTTGGAGAACGAACCGATCTGGAAAATGGTGTCGGCCGTCACCGCATTCGCATCGTTGCCATACTAGAATCAAGTACAGACATCACTTCCACATCGTGTCAGGATGTAGATAGGTACCTGCTTGGTGCCAAATCCGGACGCGATAATGGTCTCGTTCTTGTAGACCACAGCGAGCGCAAGACCCGGCAGCGCGTGCGTCGCCATTTGGTCGTGGATGAACGCAATGGCTTCGGCCTTCTTGTCCTGAATCGACCGTCCACCAGTCGTTGACGTCGACGACGACGGCAGCAGAGCCGGGATGAACCGCACTTGGTCGACCCAGAGACCGAGGTAGGACGAAAGTGCTAGGAAGAGGAAGCGCATGCTTGTGCCTGGGTGTGCGGACGATGGGAAAAGACAAAGTGCAATGACATCCGCTTTCAGCGGTTAGGCACTTGTTGAAGACATACATTCTTGTACACGCATTCCGCATTGTAAATCTGATTTGGTGTTGTGTTGGGTCGTCGCAAGCAAGGGTGGTCGATCATGGTTTCATGGGGCGGTCCTTTTGAAAGTCGCGGTGTCCACCCACTCGACGAAGCGGATGGTTGCTTGGCTTGCGGGACAGCAACACACTGGCAGACGCGAGCAGAGAGCAAAAAAGCGTTCATAATGTTTGATCCATGGCACCATTATTGCATTCATCAGTCCCATGCCGCTAGTACAGGTAGGGCGAACCACACGAGATTGATCATCGGATGCTGGGCTGATACCACATCGCCAGCGTGGGGGGTGACTCGTTCGCACACGCTGCGAGACGTCCTACGACCCACAGCCATCGCACCATGCGACGATAAGAATAGCCTACGCTTAGCCTCCGAGCTCATCGTACAGCGTGCAAGGGCACGGTCGGCGGTCCATTGCGCCCATGGGGCATGGCCTCCTGGCCCGCAGAGAACCGGGATGTGGGCTTCCACGGCCCGACAGAGCCAGCCATGGGAGCTGTTGCGCACCTCGTGGCCAGTGACGTCGAATCCATAGATATTGACGCTCGCGGGTCGCACCACCTGTGCTGCGATGGCCCACGCGACAAGGCTTGGTGCCTACACATTGTTCCAATACTTGAAATAGAGAAAGACAGACTTCTGGAATCAGTACGTGGGTTGGTGCATCGCTTTGGCGAAACGAACCGGTGTGGGTAAACATCGACAAGAGCCGTCCTTCTATCGTACCCGCCAAGAAGCTACGAGGTCCAGTTGGAGGTATTCCCGCCATGAACAGTTGAACGTACCGATACATGGCGCGGTCGTCAAGAAAGCCAGCAAGGACGATGAGGTGAATCTCTCGCTGCAGATTGGCCAGCGGCGACGTTGTCGCTTCGTCGTCTCGAGACCATCCGTTGGTCGTGTGAGCACGGTACCATGTAGACAGGACGGTCTTGATACGGCCCACCCGGCTGCGAAACCTAGAGCATGCGGGCAAGTTAAGGGTGGGGCTGTCGAAGGGTAGGGTTACTGTGGCCACCGCTCCCCGAGCCGCAGACTGTCACACAAGAGTGCAATCGTGTCAGGTGCGTGCATACCTAGGAAATAGTTGGTGCCCAAGCCATGTGTCATGAGGTTACCGTGTCGATCATCAAATTCATGGGACGAAAACCAGCGTTCGAGAAGGGCCAGCGCTCGAGCGGCGTACGCGGGACGGTTGGTTTCTTGGGCAGCCAGTAGGAGCTGCGCAGCAGCCCGCACAATCGACGACAGCGGCAGCTCGGTCGCCATGGACGGCGACACGTTTTTGAGACTTGTATCGGCCGCGTCGACGAGCGCTTGTCTTCTGTCAGCGTGGTCCAGGGGGTCGTCGTGCAAGAGCTAGAAAAAACCGAGGCTAAACAGTCCAGTCCGAGGTAGCACGGTGTATACCACGAGGTTTTTCGCGTCAAACGCATACACATCCGTCAAGACCCGTGCATCGAGTTGCTGCAGCATCTACCCCAGGGCCATGGAACGTGCACTCGCCTCCACAGTAGGTACCAGCATAATGGCGGTCGCCCGCGTCAGCTCGCGCTGCGTGCCGCTGCCTACCCCCATCTCTCAGCGTCAAAACGACAGGTTCGTCGCTACCGGGCGCTTCGAGCGACGGCGT